ACGCTTGAGCCGTGCCGGGCTGGATCATGGTCTACTTGTGCAAATAACATCTGTCAATCGCTACGTGGGCGAGCGGGAGCGAGGGGGTTGCTGTCGCTGATGACGAGACCGTCGGTCCACCCTCCCGCGGGCGCGCGACCCTTTAAAACATCTCGTCGGCTGATTGAATTACGGTGATTAGCCTACCATGATGTTCTCGGGAACAATGTAAAGTATACCGCCGATGGACGATGGTGCGATATCGATTTACCGCATGCCGATGCTGCGAATTCATCCCGCGAGAATTTGTCATTTAGCAATTTGATACTCTGATATTCAAAAATAATGCACAAACGCTTTCGATCTTTTATATCACAATTACTATCACGTCGAGAAACAAGTGGACCATTATTATTATAATAGAACGAAAGATGATAAGAAAACGACATAAAATGACATAAAACTGTCGACGGGATTGAAAATCTTGACGTGGACCATAAAACAAGAAATTGGTATTAAAAATTAAAATTTACTTCACAAGCAAATTCCAAGCAAATTACAGCATCACAATAATGTCCACGATATCTTTTCAATATTGCCACATCCAATTTCTCTCATATAAAAAATTATTTCGGACTTGTGTTCCGCACGAACCTTTTCGCCTCCTCCATTACTCTGTTGTCTCGAATGCGCAAAATACGCCCTTTGCCCCATCGTGCAATTGTGCGGAACGGACAGATAACCGCGGCGGAGAAGCGGACGGGACGAGTCGATAGCGCTAAGTAGCGTTAATTCGTACAGGTGAACGCGCGATACGCGCACGGAGGAGTTTCTGACGGCCTCGGCACATTAGCCGTGCCGTGTGTATTCACACGTGTATAATCCGACGGTATTTGCGGAGCGGAAACGCGCGCCCGTGCCGAATTCGAGCGATAGCGCTCCCGCTTACCGCCTAGTGCACACAAGAACATGAAGAGAGAGAGAGAGAGAGGGAGAGAGAGACAGCATAGCGGAGGCATTAATTGGGATTAAGTAAATCAAGACGCTAATTAGCTCGTGCCAGGTGCGCGCGCGCGGGTTTTCACCCCCCTCGCCCCTGTTTCGTCCTCCGTTCTCATCACTACCACCACCCGCTGACCGGCATGACGAACGAATCCCCGGGCATTTAATTTTCCCAACAATTTGACTACGACTACTCTCTAATTATGACGTATGTGATCTAGGAGCAAGCCCCTAACATTTATTTGCATGTTATCGAGTTATCGCTCTCTCGCGTGTCTCCACGGTGTATTAATCCAGAGATACTGCTGAACAGGATACTGCTGGATTTCAAACAGAAAAAAGAGAGGGAAAGAACCTTGAATCTTCTACGATTATAAGGAAATAAACGTCGTAGAAAAATTTAATAAAGAAGTATATATACCTTAGTTTTATAAACATTAATATATAAAAATTATGATTAGCTATAATTCGTTTTTTAACTTTACTTAAATACTCTTTTTCTAAAAAAAAATAACATTTTCCTAAAAAATTGTATCTTGATTTATCCGCAAATTTCTGTTGAGATCGTGTTTGTAATATTTTCATCAACTTTTCCTACTAAAATAGGGGACTTCCATATATCATATACCTACGTTACCACGTTGGAAAAATCTATCAAAAAATTATTCAATTGAAAATAAGTTTATTTAGCGAATAGTAAATAAATTTGACATTTCAACTAAAGCATTTTTAATTTATATTACCCAGAAAATGTATTCAATTTTCAAGCAAAGAGCGCATTGCAATCAAATTATTGAGCTTGAAGAAAATACCGCCATATAATGTGATACAATAAATATCACTAATAATTCCGTTCTCCCGATCTTCTTCGCAACAGAGTGCCTTACTGTTACTTAAATACGCGCATAAATGTAGCATAAAAAAATGTTATCGTGACTTAAGAAAAAGTTTGACATCAATTTATATTATCACACAGCACAGTTAATTATGCCATTTGTCAGAAAACTATTATGGACAGTCGATGACGCGCAAAACAGCAAATAAATAAATAAATCGAAACAGTGATTTATTTCCTTACGGAGGAGAACACGAAGAAAAACCAGAAGGATGAGGCAGATGAGAGGAAACCGGAGAGACAAGAAGTGAGGAGAGGGTTCGAGAGAGTTCCTACAGAAACGCGGCGGAGAACATGCGGTAAGTCCGCGCACAGGGCCTGGTAATATCGCGAAAAGTGTTTGCTTAGCTTGTCTCGACCGACGTTGGAAGCATTAAACCGCGAGCGTTCTTTCGTCTCCTCGAGAGACGATCCCGGGAGTGAGGATCCCCCTCCTCGCCGATGTGTACTCTTCCGCCGCCCTCGATTATTTCCGGTGCGGGGAGTCCCGGGGCCCTATACGCGCGAATTCCCATTTTCCCGATTAAAGTGATCGTTGATAATGGCGTACGAGCCAATTAAACGAAAACGTATCTTTTCGAAATAATCCCAAAGCGAATAATATGTATAATTGTCATTATTTTGAAGGCATTTTTACAAATAACTCGTTTAACTTCTATCTATAATATTTTTATTTTATATTATTACTGTCATTATTATAGTTAGTTACTGTTATTGTTACGTTTTGTGTTATGGGCTTTACGCGAAGGCGTAGACGATTGACGAGAAAAGCGTTCACGTGACACGTTTAGGGAACTTTTTCTTCTCTCAAGGTACTTATCTATTGTATTCCACATTGTTTGATTGCTATTGTAACGACAATCTCGACGATACTCGCTGATCGCGACGATGTTGCGGTAGGGGGGTCGACACGACAACCAGACGGATGGAAAGCGCGGAGGGGTGTTGCCTCTGTTAGCTCTGGTTTGGGACGACGGCCTCCTGGGAAATGCGCGTAATCGCCGAGTCTCCGTTCTGGACCCCTGAATTCTCGCCGACGACGATCGGACTTGTTTATGGACGCGAGCGCATCGTAAAAAATCGGCGACCGAATTGGCTGACGGTCATCCAAGATGAGCGAAATAAGATAAAGGAAACGATGTGTTCTTTATGCCATCGTATCAACTCAAGCTCGGACAAATGATTTTCTTATAACAAAAAATGAAAAGTATACGGATATTCCAAAATATGTCCTCTATATATAACACTCTTTTATACTTGCAATAAAAAACAAGCGAATCTAAGATTTTACCCGTTATACGAAAAAAGTAAAATCATTCTAATCATTCTAATCATCGATGATCGTAATTCTGCCATTCAACTGTCAATCAACTTCCCTCCCGGAAAAATAAAAAGAAAAATGGAACAAATATCGTTCGGCTTCCTCGTAAATGAAAACCGAAACCGCTGACAAGATGAGGGATAGGGAGAGGACGAGTAGCAAAGGTGGTCTCGCAGCGGTACCGAGCACCCAGCGCGCGCGCGAGAGGTGGAGCAGGGTGCCTTCCCCGGGTGGAGTGTATACGAGGAAAGAACGAAGAAGAGGGCCGGAGCGAACGATCGTGGCTCCGGAATAAAGTGGAATTCAGCGCGAGCTGAATTATAAACGATATTATGCAAACACGGTGCCGCGGAGTGAAGAGAAGCGCGTACTCTCTCATGCTGCGAGAGTTAATTTGATGAAAAACATCAGAGGCCAGGCCAGGCGCAGGCAAGAGGGTCTCGGAGCGAAAGAGAACGAAAGAGATAGAGAGATAGAGAGAAAGAGAGAGAACGAAAAAAGAGGGAGAAAGAAAGAGAAAGGAAAAGACCGGCAAAAGACGCATCATCTCGTGGCGAAAGATCGTTTTCCGGAAGGCGAGAGCGCTCTTCTCCTCTCATTATCCAGTCGGCTCTCGAAAGACGTTTCCTATCTCCTCTTCTCTTTATTCGTCTTTTCCTATCACTCGCGTTTGCACCACATCGCGTTTAACGTCTCATTTGAAGCCGACAAATAGATCAGCCTTTATCGCCACAATTGCGATGCTGTTTCTCATCGCACGTGAGAAGAATCCATTTTTTATGCATATTTTTTTAATTACGACGTCGATTATTGCTCGATAGATTACAATTCTAGAGATACTATTTTTTTCTTTCTTAAGAGAATTTCTAGTTTTTAAACTCGTCTTTAATTCAAGAAACGTCGATGAATCGCCGAGTACTTCGTCGATTAAAAACAGAGATTTAACTGGCGATTATATATCTGGACAATGTAATATTTCGAATGTGGTATTTCTATCATCGCGAGCTCTTCTTCCAATACAATCTTCGTACGCAATCAATTAATATTTATCCAATTATTAATATATATATATACATATATATGTCCTAATATTCTTATTAATATATCCATTAACATTCAATCAATTAATATTCATTCGCGCGACGAGAAATAGCATTCAAGTTTCAAGATTCTCATGTGATTTTCAATATGTAGAATTAAACGTGTTATTATCTCGAGCCTCGTAATTATAACGTAGCGTGACATAATAGTATGGTTGCACCCTGAATTGAGACGATACACGCGTTCGCATCGCGACGTGTTATCTATATGTAGATCGTAGAAGTCAAGTCTTATTCAAAACTGTTTCGTGCAAAAATTTTCGAAGGGTAAAAGGGTCCGCAATTTATCTGCACAATTGTTATCTAATTCTTGGCTTTGTTCTCGATAGGGAATTAATCGCGGGATGAACGACGCTTAATTGTGAAAGATTAATTATCGTCATCCCTTCTAACGAGACCCGACAGGATCTTTCCAAGTCTGCGAATTCTTCGCATCTCTCGTATATCGTGCGTAAAACGAGGGCACGATCAGGAGCGCATCCTGTAGTATCGCGGTAGAGAAGACTGATTCTCCGGGCGCAGGTGCAAGTTAGCCACGATTGCGACGTATGCCGCCAATCTGCGCTCGTTGGGGGCGGTTCTCGGTCGCTCCGAAGGGGGTTGAGCCAACCCTACGCGGCGCGGCGTAGGTGGTAGAAGCTTGGCTCGAAAAACCCGAGCGCGTCTACGCGCAGCTGATAAACAGTGCGACGATGGTGTGCCTGCCAGCCGGCGTTCCGGCGTTCAAATCACGAAGAGCCGCAAGATCGGCCCGCGCTGAGAGCGTTCGCGAGAACGGTACCGCATCGAATCTAAGATCGTGGTATCTCAATTGACTTGTATACGCGCTGATCTCGCGTGAGAGATCAGTGACTTTCGGATCATCGTGACACGATTTTCAAGACATTCGATCTGAGAAACGATCGGACTTCGAGTTACTGAAGCTTAAAAATCGCGAAACGTTTAACAGATCGTGAAGGAACACGTAAAAGAACTTTGATTCCGTCTTATGGATCTTGCGAGAGAATAACGTTGGTGTCGACATCAATCTACGATCCGATCAGTGCTTATAGGGTCCCAATCGCAAAGCTCCTATTCGTTTGCAATTCCTCCCCACGTCACGAACGACGTTAAGACGCTCTAATTTAAACGTTCGTGAAAAAATTGAGTTTAAAGGATTCTTTACCCAAGGATCTACATCGGTGGACAAGTGAATCGGATCCACAAAGGATTGAACGACGATGTATGGTTTATACAGAGCGTGGTTCGGTGGCGGTGCCACCGGCACCAGCTACCCTTGTCTTCAGGACACGTTCTCGCCGCCCGACACGGTGGTGCGAGTCGGTAACGAGGGCGAGCACCAATTTGTCGCGCACAAGGGTGTCCTCGCGGCTCACAGTGGATACCTGAAGGCCCTGCTTGCGAGCGCGGCGACGACGACGGCGACGACGTCGTCGACGAACTCACCCTTCGACCCTGCCTGCGCGACCGTCGCCGTCACGGCGACCAACGAACAGTCGCAGCGACCGGTCACCTCCGTGTCGGTCTCGTCCATCGGTAAATACAGATCACAAATTAGATCACTAACGATATATCGGCTGTCTTGCTCTCGCGAGAACAGAGTTCAATAGAAGACTACGTGATACTCCTCTCTCGATTTATTTATAAAATCTATATGCGAGAAAAAATTTATTTCAGATAAATTGAGAATACTTAGAAATAATCAATCAAATTAATTAAAAATTAATTTTTGTCAAAGTATTTAATGTAAAATTTAAGTGCCCAAAGAATTATCTGTCAGTATTAATATTTCCTGCTTGTTCTTGTGACACAACAAAATACAATGTTTTCAGAATTATTTTCGAATAATTACAATAAGCCAACAGCGAGACGAGAATAATTAACAAATTTTTAGCGGTCGCGCAGTCATTGTTACTTCCAATCTCTCATTAGGATTTTCCAATAGTTACCCAATTCAATCCAATTCAATTCAATTCAATCCAATAATTGAATCACCCGTTTCACAAGTGACATAAGTCTACTATTTTTGCAGTGTTTGCAAACAAAAGCGTTTCCCGCTCGTATCGCAAACGTTCTCCAATAAAATAATTCAATTCGTCGGACAGTTATGTCAATAAAAATCACGATACTCCAAAAAAGCAATCTACGTATCTTAATTCACTATTCGTGAACCAAATTCTAGTTATAAACAGAGTATCTTCCAATATAATTTCTAATGGTTAAGTATTCGCGAAATCATGCGGATACCAATACGTTAGGAATACCAATTATTTCTCTTCTAGCAAGCTAAATCCTTCAAGTCAAACAAAATCAAAGGAGTATATATCAACTCGCGTTTAACGTATCCCGGCTCTCGGTCTGACCTAGGTGGAGAAGCGTTCGCGCCGTTGCTCAACTATATGTACACCGGACGGTTGGAGGTGACGCTGGACAACGTTTACAGCGTGCTGCTGGCGACGCATTTGTTGCACATGCCGGGTGCATTGGAGCAGTGCAGGGCCGCACTGCTGAGGCTGAGGGCACCGCCGTCTTTGCCGACGCCGCCGATGCCGACGTCTGTGTCGACGACGACCGGGTCGACCGCCGGCAGCATCCTACGACCTATACCGAGCAGGCTGGTAGTAGGCCCACCGCTCTGCTGGCCCCCGACGACCCCGCTCGCGTACCCACCGGCCGCGCCGGCACCGACTGCCATGTCGCATCTGCCGCCATCGATGCAACCGTTGATGCAACCGACCATACCACCCGGAATCAGCGTTATCGCGCCCAGAGAGAAGCAGGAGCAGTGCACGCATTACAGGTTCGTGATCAGATCTTTTTGCATAATCTTATCTTGGTATCTCTTTCACATGCTAGAGATCTTATACAAGATATTTAGCAGCAATGAGATTAATCCAATAAATTTATTAATCTTTTAAGATTTATACTCGGATTTATATTGTTATCATAATTGCTTAAAAAATTTTATTTAGCCAAGGCAGTATACTCTACAGTAAACAAGAAATTCTTATTATTTGTCGGGAAAAGAAAATTTAAAAAATAGATTTTCAATTTTTATCTCGTTTTAGCCATGACGTTCCTTTGGAACCGAAGAAAAATTGCATTCTTTTTGAGAAAAAAATTAATCGTAAACTTAAATTATTCGACTTCGAATATAAATAATTCGCATGGCATTAAATTTTAATAACATCTATATAATGTAACTAAAATACGTAATAAGTCATACTGATAATGATAACAATAATAATTTCTTTTCAAGAGAAAATCTTTAAAAAATTAGAATTATTTAAAGATTTCAAGATTAATAGAAAATTATGCAAATATTTGCAGCTCTGGCGAGGTGTCGAAGTCGCCGCGGTCCTCGCCGTCCATGGCGCACCACAAACGTCCGAGATTGAACTCCAACAGATCGAGAACACCGGAGATCGTGTCTACCGTGTCCACCCTGCCGTTCGTGGCCGCGGCCGCGGCCGCGTTCACCGCGTTTGCCGTGACCAGCAGCACGGCGAGTTCTGCGACGAGAGCACCGTCGCCGTCGCGCTCGATCTCGCCGGCTCCCTCCTCCGTTTCGCGGACGCACTCGCCCATGCACCATAACAGCGACAGATCGACAGAACGTGAGGCTCAACGAGGAGAAGAGATCGAGGATCGTTCCGCTAGATCATCTAACGATCAACCACGCAAACCGTGTGTAATAACATCCGCCGACAGCAGAGCATCAAATCGCAACCGCGGTAGCAACGACAGCAATGATAACGAGAATACGGCCGCGATATCGGAGCATGACCGAGCACGTTCGTCTCGTCGCCGAGCCCGAGTCTCGGGCGCGAAGGAGGCTTCCAGTACGAGTACCGTCTTTTCCGTGGTATACGACATCGCGTGCTGCGACGGACCGGTGCGTTTTCACCGTGTTTTGAACGAGAATTATTCGGCGACGTCGCACGGACCACACGGTGCGCCGACACGTCCGCCGAGGAGTTGCCAGCTGCCGGAGGGCGAGGATCCGTCGAGCGAGAACGACGAGAACGGCGGACCGGCGACGCGAGGAGGTGACCACGCGCGTAGCCCCAACAATGACTCGAGCAACGACGGCAGCAACAACAGCAACAACGGCGGCTGCTACACCTGCGACTACTGCAAACACACCTTCAAGTCGCAGTACTGCTACAGGAAGCACGCCAAACGGCATTTGTTGCCGACGAGGATCAACGAGGCGACTGGCAGCAGCGACGATGGCGGCGGCGGCGGCAGGGAGAGCGTTAATCACGGGTCGCGACAAGATGCCGCACGCGGAAATAGACGGGAGGTCAGATTGCTGGATCTAAACGTGCAGTACTATCCCTGCAAGATCTGCGGCTGCAAGTTCCCCAGTTACTATTTCGTGCACAAGCACCGGAAACTCTGCCACGCGAATGACGAGGAGAGACAAAGCACCACGGATGGAGCGAATGCGTCGAGTCGTGACGCGGACGCGTCATCCACCCAGGATGCTTCGTGAAACAAAGAGACACGGCTCCCTTTCGCTCTTTCTCGCTAGGTATATATTAAAATAACGCTACAAACTCTTGCCTTTAAGCGACAAAAAGAAGCAATATTTTTTCGTAATGTGCAATTCTTATGCTTTCAGATTTTTCCTTCATCTATTCCCAACATCAAGACCCATGGAAAAGAAAAAGAGATTCCCCGCTCGAGAACAAGAGAAAAGACACTTCACAGATGGAACGTAAAGTACCTATCGATATTTGCGCACGTGTCGAATTTAATTGCAAATAAAATAGATCGGCAATCAAATCAAACTATTGTAGAATGTAATAAAGATACAAAATATCAATTAGCTCTAAACTTACCGATGACGTCGATCGACGGTGCCTCCTCGTCACTGGTCTCCATAGGAGTATGATTCTCCTTCTTCTTGTCTTTTATTCTACTACTAGCTGCCACATTAGCACCACTGCTCGAATCCCTGCAACTTGGCTTCTTTTTACTGGATTCCTTGAAATCTGATTGGATGGTCGAAACGTTCGTCGCGTTATTCAATGAAGACGCAGATGATGACAGCGTGCCTTTCCCTTCCATTCTGTAACAGTATCGACGCACATAAAATAAATTTGCTTAAACAAATACAAACCGCATAAAATATAAATATAAACTTTACGCGCGCTCGTGTTAAACGACAATCCATTGAACATTCTGTTTCAATCGTATTTTTACTTTTCAACAAATAAAACGTGAGGTTTCTTCGTGATAAAAAAATATTTTTCTGGATAAAATTTTGCTGATTGTTTGTATATATGCCTAAGAAGCAGCAGGGAATTCGACACTCGTCATTCTCATTGGGCAGAATCACATTTCCAACCATCGAGTCAATTACGGTGATGAAAGCCTACGTAAACATAATCCACTAACCGGTAACCATTGATTAGCATTACAATCTGCTAATAATTGATCTCCCTCCCACCCACCCTTCTCAGGCCGCCACCACCGCCACATCTACCTCACTCCGCCCCGTTCATCACTCCTGGCGTATCCCCGTCATCCCCGAAGCCGTTTACCACCCTTCAACGACTTGTTCCTCCGTTCGGCTATCGCGCGAGATCACCGTCGATAAGTAAAACTTATCTCTATTAGTATAGCGCCGAAAAAAAAAAGCAGATTAAGCTCCTTTTTGCGCGCGTTTTTGTAATATCCATGCGCCGCCGAGCGGCGTATTGTAATCGTTAAATGGGTATTCGCGGGTCGCCTCTCCCACCGTGGACAATATTGAGATTGGTTCGTTGGAGTGGGGTGTGTTTGCAGAATGAATATCTTCCAGCCGATGGATACGGTTCATTCAATCAGTCCGCGTACACGCTTTTATATAGATCAGAATCGGGACCAATTGATATGCGCGTTTCGCACAAAATGAGCCGCGCAAGTTTTTTTATTTTTTTATTCGCGTATCGAAAATGATTAATATCGTACTGTGCGCTTGCACGTACTGCACACTTGAGGAAACAAAAAAAAAAATAAAAGCTAAAGGATACGATATGCGCGTAACAATATTCAGTCAACATATTCGTACATATTAAAATACGTTCTACCGTACTGATACTTTCTATATGCCATATCTCAATAACTCCGAAATTTAATAATCGCATAATCAACTACATATGTAAAACCTTTAAGTACGTACTTAAATTACGTGAAACGAGATGTTGCGTAAAATTTAATTAAAACATAGATTAAAAAAGTCACACGTACATTACTTTAATGTCCTTCCCCGACGTTGGCTCTTGCGGTTCCTCTTTCAACTCTACCTTTATGAAATGAGATTCCTTCGAATCGACTTTGTTTTCCTTATTCTCCTTACTCGCCTCCCTGGAATCCTTCGCGCTGGGCGCCGTCGACGTCGTTGAGACGCTCGACGTCGCGGTGGTGTTCAGGACAGATGTCGTTGTCGTTGTCGTTGACGCCGTTATGGAATCCGTCGTTACGCTAACGCCCGACGCTATCGAGCTCAAAGGACTCGTCGTCGTCGTTACTGCCGTAGTTGCAACAGTTGTTGACGATACACTCGATGTGACCGTGGTGCTAGTTGTGGATGTAGACGTAGCCGTTGTCGAACTGTTCTGAGGATTCTCCTGAGTCTTTTGTTGCTGCTCCCGCTGTAACCTTGTTGTTACGCCTGTCGTTAAAATATCTATAGGTCCGATGGTCGAGCTGGTATTATTTACCTGAAACAATTACAAGAGACATTTATCTCAGATGATATTATCGAAAATTTGATAGGTATTTTCCAATTTTTAAGTTTGATGTCATATAATTGTATACGATATACATGCTTTAATTATATGCAAACGCGCGTAAACTACCTTAACAACTTTTCTTTAATATATTAGTATGATATAGATAAAAATTGCAAAAAAATAATTGACATGTTTTATATACAAACGATTAATATCATACTTACTTTATTATTCGGATTATTCCGAGAGCTACGCGTCCGTTGGCGCGATTTTCGTAGAAGCTGTTTATAATTTTCTGCTTTTTTAGTGAGGTAGTAGTGATGTACACAATCTGGAACGGACTTATGTTCTAACGATTGAGCTATCACTCCATAGTTCTTAGGGTGCTGAAGGTATTTCTCTTTGAACAATTCGTGCTCTACCGAACTCCACACATTGATTAATTTACGTTCGCTGTGAAGAGCTTCTAATTCCTCTGGTTGGAGCAATCCATTCCGATTTTGAAACGCGATCCTTCGTTGCTTCGCGTCCAACAACAGAGGCGGTATAACTGCATACGAACGCATCTTCTTATCCTCCATCTTAAAGAGAATATCATTTTCAATATACCAATTATTTTTTTATAACATTAACACTAAAATATATTTATCAATGTACTTCTCCATAACCCATTGTCTCATTAATTAAGCCTTGGATGGTTTTTAACATCAAGTATATTATTAAAATAAGTTGGCTGTATATCGATCAAACACATTGCAATGTATATGTGTGTAAATGATGTTTTATTATTATGAAATAAAATGTGGAATTTAATATCTTTGTATATAAATACTAAGACTTACATACAAAAAATACGTAACCAATTATGATAATTTTTAGCAATAATTATGGATCCAATTTCTCACTTTTTCAATTTGTTACATTAAGTTTGCATAATTTTAAGTACCGATTTAATGCATTGTTTGCAACCAATGCATAGCATACGATCCATAACTAATGTATGGCATGAGATAAGGGTGAAGCGAGCAAGTGCACGTTACTAACCTGACGAGCTTTAATGGAATTTTTTAAATCTTGCAATGTTTCTTCCTGGGAAATCAGTATAAATTAGATGTCTTCCATGAAGTATTATCATCAAAATTTGTCTAACAAAACTTAATCAAAAAGAAATCAGCAAGAAAAACAGAAATAAAGAACACAGTAATTTTTTAAACAAATTATTAAATGAAGCATTAATCACTCATAAAATATCAATTAGAAAAATTTTCTAAAAAGTTAGACTCAATGCAATATCGTGAATTGCAGGGGGATATTTTATTTAAAAAAACTTTTCTACTGAGCATCATGAATCTGAATTAATTAAAACTTTATTATCCCGCGCGTCTCTATTAGTCCGATGGTAACTTCCAATCATCTCCATCCATTTATCCAGTTTGCCATCCTTTCCCTGGTCAGCATACACGAAAAGACCAAGAGAGAAAACAAATGTCTAAAGATAGGAAGAAACTGTCAGTTACCATCCTTTACTTATAATCAACCAACAAACACTTTAATCCTTTGATGTGAAAATGGCGCTTTCACAGAGTTGCTCTTGAAAAAACGAAGAAAGAGATGAGACAACAAATCCACAAAAAATACAAAAGAAAGTATTATATATCTAATTTTCGCTGAATCTAGAATATAATTAGAAACTCGCGTACATTTCGGTATATTTAAAATTTTGATAAAGATATTTGTCTTTAACATATACAAGTTTAGCTGTTTTACTACGCGTATTACTTTGCTCACAATAATTAATCAATGATAGCTGAAATAAAAATAAATTACAACAAAAAAATAAAATTAACTCAAAACTAGTATTAATCAATTCTATATAAATTTATTTTAATCTATATTGTATTAAAATTATACGTTGTATGTTTTTTTGAATATTTGAATAAATAAATAGCTTTATCTAAAAATGGCGACAGATTAGAGATTTGCATGCCAAAATAATTTCTATTTTATTTTGTAACTTAAGGTCGCTAATTCAATAAAATTAAGTAAGTGTCTCTTAACTCTCTCATTTATTAATTTACAGTCTGTTCAGAAGTCCCCTTTTTTGTTCAGCTTATAATTTTGTCGCAGAATATTTATCTAATAAATATTACTTTAGTAACGTGCCTTTCTTTTACTTCTCCCTATACCATCCTTTTTGTCTTCACCATACTTTTGTTTCTCTCTTTCGGAATGTGTCATGTTGCTCATTTCATGACCATTTCGTTGCAAACGCATACTACAATAATAGAATATACCTCTTGTTCTTGTAAACCGTCCATTATTTCTTCAAGATCAGCTTCACTCTTGATGCGAGCACCAACTCTGTTAAAACGCTCCTTGTCTTCCCTTTGCTTTCGCAACTCAGGGAACACCTTCTCGAAGAACTCGCGATTCTTTGTCTCTTTCGATTTCCTCTTCTGCGTTGCCTCCAACCGTTCCACCTTACGATGCCACTCTTGAACCAAAATGGCGTACGTTTGAGACTGCTGCCGATGAAGAGACGCGCGCTCGGCGTGTTCTCTCCGAAGCCTAGCTATGAGTCTGGCTCGCATACATGTTTGATGCCGTGTACGATTTTCTTGGTATATGCTTGTATCCGACGGTTGATTATACAAAGGTAGCTCTACTTTGGGGCCCAGTCTTTCTAAAAGTCTATGAGCTTCTTCTGCCTTTCTCTGTTAATAAAAATATGCCGAATTAAAATTCAATTCAACCAATATTCCAACAAATTTATATTAACACATCAAGCGCAAGATATGCGGTAATTCAAGTTTGATTCAAGTGTTTTGACGCTCAACATGTAAAAGTATTTAAATATTATTTACATAATTTACCCTATTCTCAGCGTAGACCTTTTGCGCCATCGATTGATGCTTTGGTTGCTGTGACTGTTCCTCAGTGTCCTTTACTTCCAGAGGCTTATTTGCTGTTTCTTCCAGTTCTTTTAATCTCTTCCGCAACATGTTCAATTGATTTTCCCTCTTAGCAATCTCTCTGTCGACTTTACCAATTTGCTGTAAGAGATCGTCCTTGGTACTTCTATATTGTGCATCCTCCTGCGTATTCGGCTCGGGAAGCGTAGGCGAAATAGCTTCCGTTTGCGGCGTGTACGCTCCTACGGCAGGCTGCTCCTAGCAAAAATTTGTCATATCATATTGTATCCAATTTTCGTTTCATTGCTTTTCCTATATCCAATTTATGTATATTATTTATTTGTTTAGTTAATACCGAGTTAATCTAAAGTATTGATATACATTATAAATAATTCTATATTTAGTTACATATTAATTTATTTATATTTATATACAATTATTCTCGGAGAACGTAAATTAATCTCAATTTACATTCCATACTCATAGCTATGAATGTGATTAACTGCTATCTAATTTATTTATTTAATATAATTTCGCGAAAATTAATACTATTATTCCAATATTTTGATTTTCAACACTATAAACGAACGATATTATGCAAACATGAGATAGGTCTTAACTAAACAGCGAATTAAACCTAAAATGTAATTTTGTATTGCCAATAAAAAAAATTAACTTATTTTTATTCTCAGTAATAAATTGTCGTCAAAATATAATATATTCTAATTATTAAATAGATAGACGATCTCTCGGTTATCAAGCGAACTGTCCATCGTACCCACCCTGGTGTCTATCCTAAGTGGCTGTTGCAACTGCACGACATGTTGTTGTTGTTGTTGCTCCTGCTTGCCCCCGCATGGGTCCGCGGGCGACAGGCAACGCGGCTGAGGCTGCGATTGCAGCTGTTGGACCTGCTGATGCGGCCCCAGACGGATCTTCTTAAAGGGCGGTGCATCCTGCTGCAGACTGGACATGTCGACGGGGGTGCGACTGCAATACTGATCAGGCTGGACGGGCATGAGGCCTACTCGCGGCGGGTTCCTCGCCGCCGCCGCATGTTGCTGGTAGTCCGATGCGGCGGCGGCAGAAGGAGATGGTATAGACGTCACCGAGGAGCCGACAGGCGGCAAGAGGGATATCCTCTGCCGATCGCCTCTGCCGCCGGCTCCCATGCCGCTGTACTCCGCCGCGGACACTACCCCAACGCCACCAACTCCACCAACTTGCGACAGAGGACTGTTGCTCACGTTGATGGCGAGCCTCTCGTTCACCTGAAAAGAAAACGCCACGGTGAAAAGTGTGCTTTACGTCCTCCCTTTCTTCCTCTATCTCTCATCCCTGCCTGCTCTCCCCTTTCATCGTCGTTTCGCTCATTCCTTGCCAAAGGTTCAATTTATCTCCCGCTCCTCTCTAACCTTCTCGCCAGGGAAACTATTTCAGAAAAATCGATGACCCGGTTCAAGAAAGCACGCGGTACCGATATACCACACGACCGCTGCTCTGTCCCCTACGCTCTGTCTACCACAATCATCTGTTCCAACTTTTTTCCCCCCTTTTATTTCTGTCGGTAGGTTTTGCGTTACGACGCTGGTTCATTCGTTCATCATAGTTCATTCCGGGCGGTCACGTAGACAAGTTTGTACTATGCGTACTGCGTATCAGAATGATTCTGAAGAAATTCTACTCTTAAGTTGCGGCTAAATAACCGACTCGAAATATATGTAAGAAATAAGTAAAATAAGATGCAGTGGTATCCTTGTGTACATGTGCACGTATAACATGCGTATATGTGTAGCCTGAGTAGGCGACTGTAACTTTCTCCCGCCCACTCGCATCATGCTACAAGCTAAACATGATAATGTTCGCTAGAACTGCCTTATCCCATGAATTTAACTTAATTTATAATCCGTAAAAATTAAATATAACATAATAGATATTGAAAGACATTATATTGTCGTTCTGAAACATTCTTAAATAAATTTCCAAAAATCTTGGAATGTCTTTCTCATAAAAGTTTGACCTTTTTAAAAATAAGATATATCGTAATCGAATTATGATTCATTTGGAATGTGTTACTAGATACTTTTTACTTTACATATTTTTATCCTAATTCTATTTCAATAATCATATCTAAATCTAATTATATATATATGCACGATCTCAATTCTATCATAAAAATAACTTTGGATGAATAATTCTCTACTAACACCGACGCTGTATTTAAAACTGCCGACCGTTGAATCATATTGTTAAAAGGGAAGGAAAAAGGAAGAGGGCCGATAATCGGTGAAAGTCAAGGACGGGGTCGACCGATATGGCATGCGTGCGATTGCGTTGCGCGATGCGTGTCCCAATTAGTTTAGTGTCTGATGTTACGAATGAATATTGATTTCTATCTCGTTACTCCGTTTACTAAATTGACCTAAATATTAACAATTAGCTGAATATAAAATTTTCATGATAATTACGATATCTAATAAATTGTCTAGAAATTCTTATATTGTCCTTTTAAATAACTTGAAATAAGGAAAATTAAAAATGTTCTATTTCGGTGTTGTGTAGAAAAGAAAATATTATTCGGGTCACAGCAGCAGCAGACAATTATAACAAAAACCAATCGTAAAAGACAAGACTAAAAATATAACTGTGATATATTTTTACAAATAAAGTCTACAAA